CCCGAAGAGGAAGCATGGCTTAAGAATAAAGCTTTGAAGGAAGGGAACTGGATGATTTTCATAATATGATAATGAAATGGATTTATCTAATCTCTGCTGGATATCAGTTCAGAACAGATATTTGTCCAAAGAGCTGCCTGCTTTGGCAGTTTCTGTCCAGGAGAGTTCCCAAGATKGAACCCATTCAAGTCAAGAATATGGGTGCTGCGAAGAGAGAAGGGCCAGGACTGGGATGGAAGGGAGGTGGGAAGGAGGGCAGCTGACTGTTTGCCTGAACTGGATGCACTGAAGAATTATACAGGGCTGCATTGCTGCAGATCATGACTGAGATTTATTGGCAGAGCTGTTGGAATATATTTTTAATAGAAGGGAGCATTAGAATTGTGGTTGAGAAGGAAGGAGCTTGCACAGTAGTGATTTGTGCTATGGACAGCTCTAATGGGTAATGTTAGTGCTTTACTTCTAAGTACAGYAGCATTCACCAGATGCCTCCCATTCACACCCTGCCCTTCCATGTTTTCAGCTAAGCAGACACTCAGTGCAAAATGAAATAGCCCAAAAGCTCTGGGTGCGTTGGAGTTACCAGCATTCTGCATGGCCATGACGCTGGGAGGAGGGAAGTGCTTGTACACTTCTTGTCACCTCTTACTTTCAGCAGAGGCAGGTTAAGCAGATCTGCTCTGCTGTGGAGCATGGGACRTGGTGATACATTGGTGACAGCTGCCTCAAGGCTGTGTTGCTCCCACTGCTGTGGGACTAAAGGGAGCAGCTTGCGCCCCGCCATGTGCTTACAAGTCGCCCAGCAGGACCATGCTGTGGAGCTGCCTACTTGGCTTTGGCCTGGAGGATACTCCTGCATGTTTTGTGCCCAGCATTGTGGTTTCTTTGATGTTCTCCTGTTTCCTTTCTCTTTTTTTATTTACTGAACTTGCGTGTTTTGTTTGTGTYTGTGTTTTAATTCCCTGCCATGCTAGCTCCCCCGCTCTCCACCGGGGACGGCAGCTCAGTGCTTGAAGGACGGAGGCACAGTGAGAGCAAAACACAGACTGAGTCCATGCAGTCCCAGCTTTCTCTCTGTTTCTCAGCCAGTAAGTCCAGGGGTGCAGTGCTTCACGGCATCTTTTTCCAACACTTCCCTCCACCTTTCCCATTTTTCCTGCCCTTCCTCCCAGAATGTTGATTTTTTTTTCATTTCCAATACTCCAGAATAAAAAGAAATCATCTCCCTTCCTTCAAAATCCCCTCCTTGCACAATGAAATTCTCCAAATTTTCCTTCCCCTTTTGGAGAAAATAAAAAATAAAAAAGACAAGACAAAACCTCATCCTAGCTAATTTCATCCTAATTCCATTCCCTTGCTTTCCTCCGGGTCAGGTATGCAGTTCTTTGCAGTTGCAGATGTTGTCTTTTGGGCTTGCCTCAGGCAGGTCACTGCATCTCTGATTGCCTTTCTGTAAATGTACACAATGGTACAGACCTGCTTTGGAGGGGATTTGTGAGGCTGAGTTCAGTCCTGTTTGATCGAGAACTTTTCAGTTCCTCAGATACAGATGGTGCTYGGGAAGTACAGAATGGAGGACAAGTAGCTTTTGCAGACTGTTTTGGGGATGCTCCAAGAGTGAGGATGTGGCTCTGGGAAGACCCCTCAGCATTTCTGGATCCACTTAGGTGCTCCAAATGAAAACCCTTAGATAATGGTGGATCTGAGGGGCATCTCTGTTGTGTGCTTTTCCTTCCATGTCTCTCTCACTATCTCAGTTAATTGGGACCTTGGTTAGTCCGTCTGCTATGTGTATTTTGTTCCTATTTCAGGAAGGGTGTTCCTTCCTGAACTGGCTGCCTCTGTAGAGGAGCCTGTGGCTGAGAAACCAAGAAAGTGTAAGAAGTTTTAAGTTGGAGAAGACTTTGGTGGGGTTTCCAGCCTTCCCACTACCTGACTCCTTTTCTGACTGTTTAGAGATGTATAGGAATGATCCCTTGCATGAGCTGGTGTAGTTTGATCCATCTGTTGAGATGGTGAAGGCTATGAAGAAGGATTAGGGCTGCCCTCTTCTGTCTCTTCTTGTCTTCTTTCCCTGGTTTCCTGCATGCAGCTCAGAGCCTCTCTGCTATTTTTGACGCTGTGCTAGGAATGTGAAACCGCTGAGTTTGAGGCGCATGGGGAAGGTGTTTTGTCTAGTCAGACTGGAAGGGACATGATCTCTTAAGTCTTTTTTTGCTATGAAATACCCATCACAGCTTTCTTAAGCTGTGCCTCTTGCTTGTAGAAAGGTCCTACCGCAACACCCCGAGCAGCGCCAAATCACCAGCTTACTGAGCAGGGCAGCATCCCCACTGCCTGCACCTCCCCAAGCTGAGATCCGCAGTGACGCGGATGCACTGCTTCCTTTCCCCTTCCCTTGTCTCTTGTGCTTGCCCATGTGCTGCTGTGCCACCGCTCTGACCAGCCTGTTAGGTCGTCCCCAGACTGCAGCATCGGTGATTCCCACTGTGTTGTGAGGGGTCTCCTGCCTGGGTGCCAGTGACCCCCTCAGAGCAGAGCCCAGCACRGCCCCTGTGCCAGAGGCCACCAAGCGGGCAGAGGTGCCAGGATGTGGATGTCTCTGTGTGCCCGGGGGGTTGTGCTCTGTGTGTTTGTGCCTCTTCGCTGGTTTTTGTCTGGCTTTCTGGTTGGGGCTGTGTGTGTTTGTGTCTCTTTGCTGGTTTTTGTTTGGCTTTCTGGTTGGGGCTGTGTGTGTTTGTGCCTCTTTGCTGGTTTTTGTTTGGCTTTCTGTTCGTTTATTTTAACGCTTACATTTGTTTTGCAGCTACACAGTCTTGCGAAGAGAAGCTGCTTGCCTGGGACAGCCCAGGGCAGACATTGGAGTTCGAGCGCGCTCGGTCGGAGCCGCTGCTCACTCCAGTAGTTCCCTTTGCCCTTAACAGCGCACCGCGTAAGTTAGCGGCTGGCTGCCATAGCGGGTAGTGCCACTAACGCCGTCCCGTCCCGTCCCGTCCCGTCCCGCGCGGCCCTCTCGCTGCTCCGCGCGGCCGCCTCAGCCTTCCCGCGCTCCGCGGCGCCGCCAGGGGCCGCCAGGGGGCGCGCCGGGGCCGCGGGGAGGCCGCCCTGGAGGCCGCGCAGGGGGGACAGGCCCGGGAAGGGCGCGCGGGTCACGCGGCGCCGGCCGGGGCGCCCCGGGATGGGCACCCGGAGCGAGCGGCACCCGGAGCGAGCGGCACCCGGAGCGAGCGGCACCCGGAGCTCGGGCCTGTGCAGCCCCGCAGCCCCCATCCCGGCACAAACGGGTCCCCCGCTGCCGGTCGGTCTCGTTGGGGTGCACAGTGAAAGCCAGAGGTGCAGGTTGGAGCACTGGGCTTGTGCCACATGCAGGGTGAATGCTGCTGCGTAGGGACGTGTGGGGAGATGCCTCGAGATGAGCTGGCCGGGGGGGGCTGTGGCCTGCCCATCTCCCACCTTATCCCAGGCAGGGCCTCTCCCTGGGACTCTGCACATCCCATGCCCTCAGTGTGGGGTGGGAGAGCCCCGTGTGGGCATCGCTTTGACACCAAGCGACTTGCTTGTCACAACACTTTTCATAACAGACAAAACCTAACACGTCCCTTTGATCTGTTCCCTGCATACCTCATTCTACATATAGAAATAGGATGTTACAGCACTAGCAGGAAAACCTCCCTTACTATCATAAGCCATTTTTTTTCTGTGCCTAGCTGGGTAGTATAAATTTCTTACAGGATTTCCAGAATGGATGCAGACACCAGTGAGATTATSTTCTTGCTAGTCTTCAGCTGTGCTTTGGGTTGAGGTACTGCATGGAGCTCAAGGGGAAGAGCAGTTCAGACTGGCATCTGGCATCTAGTGCAGAATGCATCTTCCCTGACTTGTCATTTAAATCCAACCTAGCTTCTTTTAAACATCATTTCCCTGATAAAAAGTATCTGAAATATCTCAGATGAGTTTTCCAGAGGTGCCTTCTTATTTTCAGACATGAAAGAAGAGATGGTCAGGCAACTAATTCTGTTTGAGACATCTGCATTTCAGATGTCACCAAAATCAGGGCAAGTGAATTGAAGCCTCGCTGGGAGCTAGATTGTCAGCTGTGGGAAGCTGAGAGAAGGAAGCTGAGGGGTGCTGGCCAGAAAGGGACTGGATCCACAGTAGATGACTAGTCATCAGCCTTCGTTCATCTCAGAGCCCATGCCCCAGGCTGAGTTAATGCAGTACTGTGAGAGAGAGCTAAAAAGATCTGTCATAGGGATCGGCAGAGTTAGTTGCCTGAAAAACAGCGTGTTCCTATAGTGTGCATGCTGCAGACTATGTACCTGTCCATCCACTCGTGTATCCTGCTTTGACTGTCCTTCTAGCTTTCAGCAGTTATTGCTGTGTGTCCCAAATGCTTGTTTGCAGCACTCATAGTATCTGGTGTACTGGTGATGGTGACAGGCAAGTTGTTGGGAGACTTTTTACGATGGGCTTGATCTGTGCGGCGGCCGTGCTTGTACGGCTGCTGTGCTGGAGAGTTTTGCCCATCTTACAGCTGCCAGACAAGCGCTTCAGGTTGGTCGGTTTACTGACATTCTAGGTCAGACTCCTAGAAGCACCTAGAGCTGTCGTTCAGGACACAGCCCTGGTTACTAAGCCAAATCTTTTTAGAAGAAACAAGTTCAATAGGATAAGTATCTTTATTTCCCCCTTCTCTGCATTATAGGATCACCGCTCCCTTTTCATACCACTGTTCCCCTACCCTCATATGGATGGCTGTCATTACTGCACGTCTCCAGAATGCAGGGAGCAGCATCCTATGAGACCCAGACTAATGGTGTGCTGCAAATTGCTTGTAGGAATCACCCACTTAGCCCCATATTCCCATTCAAGTCTCATGCACCGTTAAATTGCTCTTTCTTCTTGTCCACAGTGCGTAAGCAAGAGATCATTAAGATAACGGAGCAACTGATAGAAGCCATCAACAATGGAGACTTTGAGGCATATACGTAAGTACAGCTGGCTAGTGCACAGATGCCTCTGGCAGGTTGTTCACCCGTTTGTGCACAAGTGCAGAGGTACTGGTGGCTGTTGTTGGCCACACACAGTAGAAAGCATCATGTTTTTTAGCTTCCATCAACTGTACTCAAGATGTGGTTGATTCCTTTACAGGAGGTTCAAGTAGCAGCCAGGTATCAAAAAGCAAGAGTAAAATATCCTTTTGTAAGGGAGGAGAGAGCACTGAGGTGGGCAGAGAGGGAAGAAATAGCAGAAATGCAGAGGCCTGTTTCACGAGAGCCTGTAAGAAGCACCAGTTTTGTGTTGCTGCATTAGGCCTCAATCCTCCAGGGACTTAATCCTCAGAGTAAGGCTATCGCTAGGTGCACACAGGGTGCGAGGTGCAACGTTCACAAGTTCTTCAGGGTGTAAATAACCTTTGGGTTCAGCGCAGGCTCTAAGGCTGTGGCGTGTTTTTGTTTTGCTTTTCTATTCTTCAGGAAAATCTGTGATCCTGGCTTGACGTCATTTGAACCTGAAGCACTGGGAAACCTCGTTGAGGGAATGGATTTCCACAAGTTTTACTTTGAGAACTGTGAGTGGTTAGATTTGGTAATACCAAGAGCCTTTTCTCGCAGCTTCTTTTATGCCGTAACTTTGGCTTTTGGGGGAAGACTGTCAGTGCTTATGTAGGCTCATTCTGTGTAGATGGTGAGGCGTTCACAAAAGCCAGCATGCTTTCTCTCCAAAGCCTTTCTGAGCCACAGAGTCACTTCTAACCCTCAGTTCCYTTCACTACCACGTTCCAGTTTGCCTGGTGCAAATGTTTTGCCRGTATGGAAAGAAGTGGGTTTAAAAGGTGAGGGACTGGATTTTCTACTGATATGGAAATGGAAAAATGAACATGTATCGATGGAAGCAACCTGTATGTTTGACTTAGGCATGCTATGCAGTCACACATAAAGATAGCTGAGCCTTCACTTGGAGTTTTCTCTGGACTGTTTCAGATCTCCTAACACCTAATGAACCCCTTATGTGGATACAAGGGTCACCTTGTCAGCTGGGGGACAAGGAGAGTTGAGAGAAAGGCTGTCACTTACAGGGATGTGGGTAACACACACGCCATAGTTGCCTCCCTTCCTGGATGTCTCCACAGGATGAGATAACTGGAAAGTTAAATCCTCAGCTGTTTAATTTGTTTTATTTAGGAGAGGTTAGTTCAAGGCCCTTAGCAGGTAATTCGTAGTGGTAAGTGTGCAGAGAGATCTTCTCTCTCAGGTACCTGTTCTGGAGTGACTTCTCCCTTCTCTGGGGGCCTGCTCATATTTAATGCAGGCCTAGCTAAAAGGTTTCCTGATAATTGACTCTTGTAGCAATATTCTGATAATTAAAACGTCTTTTCCTGTGTCTGAGGAAACAACACCAGTGATGTATAGCTTAGAGAAGAAGTGCGAGCAAAGGGGCAAGGTGATTCTAGGGAATAATAAAGGCTCAATTTAGAAAGAAGAAGRACAAGTGATGGGGGAAAGAATTGCTGGGATTTTGCCTGGAAAATTACAGGAGTGATTTTTGTTGTGCCCCAGAATCCATTTGGAGGTGAGTAAACACAAACACATTGGAGGGGCAGGGAAGGTGTTTCCTCTTAGTGGCAAAATGAAGCTGATGGTTTTACGTGTTGTGCCAGTGCTGTCCAAGAACAGCAAGCCAATCCACACGACGATCCTGAACCCGCACGTGCACGTCATCGGGGAGGATGCCGCGTGCATCGCCTACATCCGCCTCACGCAGTACATCGACGGCCAGGGCCGGCCCCGCACCACGCAGTCCGAGGAGACCCGCGTGTGGCACCGCCGCGACGGCAAGTGGCTCAACGTGCACTACCACTGCTCCGGAGCACCCGCGGCGCCCCTCCAGTGAGGATCCRGCACGGGTACGGGCGCGCGCGGAGGGAGCAGCGGGCGCTGCTGCGTGGGGCAGCTCGGGAACTTCCTAGCTGGCTGTGAGAAAGCAGCGTTCTTGCTGTGTGCAGGCTGAAAATCCCACTTGTGAGCTGGCATTCCTTTCCCTGCATCCCTGTTGTAGGGATTGCCTAGGATCATCTGCCATTCCCAGCAATGTGAGTCAGGTGCCAGGTAGGTGTGCCCGAGGGCGGCTGCCCCTGTCCCGGCGGTGCTTCCCCACAGATGCTCAGCTCGGTGCTGGGGAGAGGGCTGATCCACCTGCAAAGCAAAGCAGAGGGCAAGGAGTACCTCGTGGGGTACCCACCTTGCTGTTCCCTGAATCCCTGCCGTTCCCAGGTTTCAGGGATTTACTTTTCCAGTCTATTAGTACAGGCATCTTTATGGGAATGTCAGACTCTAGAAAACATATCATAAAATGTATATACTATAATTGTCACATCATAAGAGTAAATATTCATACAAACTTTTCTACCAACTTTGTGGTTAGTTAATGCTATTCARTGTGCAGTATGGAGAAAATATAGAGGAAAAGATACTAAAGAAATTTTATCAGAGGATTTAAAATATCTCCCAGGTAGCTTACTATAATTCAGTATGGGAGGAAGCTTTAATCATAAAATTTGATATGAGCAAAGAATCGTTTTCTGTCCTTGAAGGACAGCAGTATTTACACTTACACCATTACATTTACACCATGTAGCTGTTTTAGTTTTTTTATTGCCCTACTTACTTCTCTTACTTAGATGTACAAAGTCTTTCTGCCCCCTTTCATTGTATGCTAAAGTGTTATGTTACATAATTTTACAGACCGAAGTTCCCTAATCTTAAGACCTTTTTACTGTTTGTCTTCTATTTAATAACAAACACACAAACTGACACTTTGTGGAAACCTTGTGTTGATGCACCTGGGGAATGTGCACCTGCACTTATGTTTTTGTCATTTCACCATAAATGATTCAAGTATAGGTACTCTTTGAGTCTTAGATCTGTGTACTGCTTAAGAGTAAGTTCTTCTAACGTGTTGTGGGGGATTTGGCCCTATTGAGAGCAACAGAAAGGAATGGGAACCATCCCAAGCAAATCGCAGAGAGGTCACAGATGGAATTTGAAGAGCAAAAGCCAGTTGGGTGCATCAGAAAGCTTTGAAAGGAGCTGGTCAATCAGCAGTATTTCCAGAGAGTAAAGCAGTGAGGAGGATAAAGCCTTTTCAGTGGGGAAGGGGAAGAAAAAACTTATTTGCATCAAAGAGATGTCAAGAGAATTCTCTCCTGGATTTAGTCTACTGTAGAGTCTTGAAAAACATGCAGATCAAATTAATAAAGATCAGTATGAGTTGGTGGCAGTGCCTAGGAGTTCTGAGGAAGCCTAGGAACGAGGAGCCTCAGCTGCCAGAGAAGAGGTGCATTCCCTTCACTCGGCTGCTCACATGTTRCACCTCCTCCAAAAGGAGGTTTTGGAGAGCTCCTGGAAGCTACAGTGTAGGAACCATTTCCAAAGCACAAAATGTTGGTTAAAAGAATATTTTTTGACGTCTATAAACTAAATTGATGTGCTTGTGTGCATTTTTGGCTTCCAAAGGAAGTGTAACTGTGTGCAAGTCACACTTGTAAAAAAGTTCTGGTTTGCTTAAGTCACTTTGAAAAGAAACTAGCCTTAAATGCAAGCTGTCTGAGAGAGAGTAATCAGGGAACTTTGTTGTAGAGAGATGGTAGGCATCAAGAAGGGAGAGAACTAATAAGGTAGTTGTGAAAAAGCTTTGCAAACCTAAGAAATGTTAGAAAACTAAGTAGATGATCTCGGCTGTTCTTTCAGCTGGGAAGACGATAGTGAATATGACTGATGAAAATAAACCCAGTTATTTGACACACAACTAGTCAGGAGAAGCCTTTGGTATAAATTGTTTCTGGAGCTACACCTTTGTAAACCTGAACAATAGACAGTATCTGTGGAGCTGTTGAGAACTTCCAGAGAGGAACTTACTGCAAACTATACAGTCAAAGAGAGAAAGAGAAAAGGGGGGGGGAGAGAGAGAGAGAGAGAGAGAGAGAGAGAGAGAGAGAAGGAGAGAGAGAAAAAATATTCCTAATCAAGCAAAAGCCATTTGGGAGACACAGACTACTCCTTAGGGACAGATTCTTTGATGATCTGTTGGGAAACTTCAGCTTCTGAGACATATCCCTGTCAGATAGCGGCCCCCACTCTGGTCCAGGCAAACAAGTAATTTTTTAGCAAGTAATTTGTATTCATTGGTGTCCACAGCCAGTGCATGGAGAGTGTGCACCTCTTGTCTTAGGGACTCTCCTCACCAGCCCTAATCTGCTTGGCATTAGGAAGAGTTTGTCCCAGTACCCAGTAATTAATCTGTAGGGGAAAAAAAAAAATCTGTGTTATTGATTGTGTGCAGCTAACTTCTGCCTTTATTTCCTTCCATATTTCATCCCGTTCTGTCCTGTCCTTTCTGGGTGGACACTGCATGTTCCTGACTGCAGCAACTTGTGGAGATACTCAGCTGGAGGGCAATACCTTCTTAGCAAGCAGCTCTGGAGTGCCTGAGTGACAGCAATGGTCATGTCCGTTTTGACGTTAAAAAAGTAAATAAATAAATAAATACAAATTACAAGCAGGCAGCCGCCAAGTGCACGAAACCCTGCATGCATCTGATGCTCCGGGCGCTGCCTTTCTGTTGTTTTCCATGGATCCATCGTGTCTGTTTCTGCTGTACGAAGGTGTTTTTAAATCTTAAAAAAAAAAAAAAAAAGAAAAAAAAGAAAAAAAAGAAGAAAAAAAAGACATACTGTTTGTACAAAATAACAAAAACAGGAATAATGCTAAATAAATGACAGATTATCCAACACGCCCCCCTCTCCCAGGACTAAGAAAATGGCAGCAGCTGGAACATCTTGCAGGAATGAAGCGAGGGGGCAAGCAAAAGTGAAGGAGAGAGAAAGAGAGGAGGAGAGCAARGAGGAGGCAGCYTGGGCAGTGCCTGCTGCACGGTGCTCCGCAGAGCCCCGGGGAGCTCCGTGGCATTCGGGCTGCGTCGCGACGGGCGCCGAGGAGACCCCAGAGGAGCCGCCGCGGAGATTGGGGCTGGAGAGAGAGCAGGGACGCTTCTCTCCCTGCTGCCCAGCAGACTGACCGCAGCCCGGATTCCTTCTGCGCGGCAACAACGCTACGGAAAGCTGCTCGCTCGGCTGCTGGATCCCAAAAGAGACTTCTTTTTTAAAAAAAAAAAAAAAAAAAAAGAAAAGAAAAAGAAAAACAAAGTGAGATGTTGATTTAAAAGTAAAGGTGAAAGTAGGGATAAATAAGAAATGGATTTAAGTAAATATATAACTTAAATAGAAGCTTGCTCTTCAGAGATACTGATTTTAGAAACAGCCACTACCTGGCCAAACACAGATGTTTGAAGCCAGCTTATTTAATTTAAAAAAAAAAAAGAAAAAAAAAAGGCATTGTGTTAAGAGTGAAGAATTTTGCGGCAGAGGGTAAATATATGGGACTTCCTTTTTTCCTTTTTTTTTTTTTTGTTCTTTCTAGTAGCATAGTTGGGATCCACAGTGCTGCAGAACACGTGTTCCTTAGGAAGCAGACAAGAAACTTAGTGTTACGTTCTTCATGAAGACTTGCACATACACTCCTATATGAGGCATAAATAGCGTGTGTTTTTTATACTGAAATATATGCACCCATAGAATTCAAGGGGTTTACTGGCCTCCTGGTTGATTTGTTTGATCTCCGCATCMAGTAGCAGTGGGAGCCAGCAACCCCAGCCAGGTGCTTCTCCCTCCCACTAACCCATCTGATGTTTGTAAGTGTCATGTTTCCTAGTGTTTATTTGGGTAATTTTTCTATTTTTTACAGTGATGTTGTAACACAGAAAACTATCAGATCAGAACCTCAACAAACTGTAGCCGAAGGACTCCAGGCCACCTCCTGGTGCCGCCTCTGAGCGTTAGATGATACCGCGTGGATTCAGCAGAGGGTAAAGAGAATTAGCACATATGATCTGATGTTTGTCCTTTGGGCCAATTCACCTCCCTTTCTATCCTTTGCTGGAAGGGGAGTCTGCTTCCTTTATTCATTAGCTGGGGAATGTGGAGTTGTTTTGTTGACCTTACCAAAAATGGGTCCTAGCCCCAAGAAGACAACAGCTTTCCTGATGGACCCTTTCAGGAACGGGATTTACCTTGACCAAAGGGGAAGGCACAGGCTTGCTTGCTACTTACAGAAGTTGGGTGGGCTTTTACCTCAATTTCTTTCTACCCGCAATCATTTCTGGATCTTTCCAGGGATTTGAAGTGATTGCATTGACAGCATACCAAGTGTGAGGCAACRTCTTTGCAGGCTATGGAAGAGAGGAAAGCTAATTTGGAATTTTAATCCTTATTTAGCAGAATGCAGAAAGTAAAAGCTGTTACACAAAGTGGAGCTGTCACTTTGTACCGTGTAGCTCTCAGCTGCCTTTGTTAGAGAGGTGCTATCCCACAGCAGGATTAGAGCAGCCAACCCAAGATGAAGGAAAAGACCATCCCTGCTTCCCAGGGTTTGTCTGAACACACACACATCTCTGCTCCCTCTGCCACCCAGGGGAGGAGTGTGGGGATTGAGTCCATAGGGGGCAAACACTAGATTTTATTATCGCAAAACATTTTTAAGACAGCACTAAGCCAGCAAGTGAAGTGGAAAAGTAAAAAGCCTTGCTATTTTATCCTGACATTTTTTTTTAAAAAAAGCCACAAAGAGAGAGCAGATAGGAGATGACAATTATGCAGTTTTAAAAAGATAAATACAAACCATTATGCATGCCTTCTTTAGGTCTGATCTTCCTTGTCTCTTTACCTGATGATTATTCCTAATTAAAAAGAGAACCCTCTGTATTAAGTATCTGCATATTTCAGAGTAAATTTAAAAAGAAAGAATTTTTTTTTTGGTTTTGCACAGTCTTGGAGACAAACTCTCTTTGGGTTTTTTTTTGKTTGTTTGTTTTGTTTCCTTTTAAGTTAATGAGAACCTTAGCTTGGTATGGCCATTATCAAACACAGCTGTACACCTTTAGCATTCTTAATGTTCTCTTATGGGGCTAATATAAGCATCTATATAATATATATTATAAATATCACATTTTAAACAGGAAATGGAAGGCATTTGATGCAGAATTTTTTGCATGATATAGAAATAATTAAAACAAAGTTAGCTAGTGTTTGTTTGTTTGGTCTGAATGTTGGTAGAACCTTCATAGCTTTGTTACAATGAAACCTTGAACTGAAGATATTTAATAAAATAACATTTAAACAGTGCAAAGATTTGAGTGTCTCGCTCTTTCTGTTAAACCACGGGACAAAGTGGTGTGGGCACTGCAGGGATAGAGTCATTGCACAAAGTGATTTTGGTGTCAGCAGAGCATATGATCAAAAAAAAACTTGTTTAAAAAGATAAGCAGTATCAAACCTCCATGGAAAAGACAGTCGTGTTAATGAAAACAAAGGGACAGTGCAAGCTCCGAAAATGAACATTCTGGTATTTTCCCGACGGGACCAGGGAATCATAGGGAGATGTGGCTTCTTGCCAAAGGCTGGGCTATCTGGAGCAGGCAAAGTTGTTGCTTCCTTGCTTGCTCTTTGTTTTCCTTGCCAGGATTTCAACTGCTTTGTGGGAGAAAATGTCCTGCCATTGGGTTTGCCTGATTTAAATGTGTTGAATGCAGGTTGCCTGACAGCTATTTTATTTGTTGGCAGGCGGGTTTTATGTTCTAGGCTGCATTCTCTTGCAGAAGTATTAATCTAACCACTGATTTGTACAAATTGGCCTGCTCTAGCTGTGTACAGTTTTCCAAACACAGGCTGAAGTTAGCTGGATTTAACCTGCCTTGTTTCCATGCTGCCTGTTTCCATTAGCATTCCCATTACGCTCCTGGAGGAGGTGGGGCTCCGCTCCAGCCTCGCGCTGCTTTTGAGAGTGTTGTGCTTGTAACGGGGCGTTGTGGAGAGGGCCCTGGGAAGGGCGGCCACGCTCCGTCCCCCACAGCTCTGTCCTGGCTCTGGTTCCCTCCAGGTCCCTGCAGCACCAAGCTGCRCCTCGCTGCAGCCACTGCTCACGGGGCAGGTGCGAGGCGAGGAAGGCAGTGCCTGTACTTGCAGTTTGCTCCTGCAGCAGGTCTGAAGTGAGCCCAGGTGCACCTGAGAAGCCTCCCCGGGGGCAGGGTGGCCTTTGCCTCTCTCGGAAAGAGAGTTCAGGTGCTTAATCCTCTCTAAATGCAGCAATTACCTCATAAATAGGTATCAGTTGCTGCTGCTTAAGGAGCTGATTGCTTCACCTGCCCTGTGGAGCCACAGCAAGGCTGTCCTCAGTGTGTAGAAGGAGAAGGTAGAGTCTACAGCCCTTGCTATGTGGGACAGGAGAGGAGATATTCCTGACCAGGAGACACGGTCCCTGCTATTGCAGGAGCCCGGTGAGGTGCTGCTGGCATCGCTGGCGGCCRGGACAGCATCGCTGAGCCGGTAAGCTCTCTGCTGAAGCACCGAATCACGGCTGGGTTTCTGAAGAGCTGTTCCAGCTTAGTCCAGTATGTACTGGGAAAATGAACCCATAAAGTAAGTGAAGGTTCTACATGTCCTTAACAGCTCTTTTAGCAAGAATCAGGGTCTTCTGAGCACTGTTACTGAAAACACCACAGGCAGACTAATGCCTACCTTGAGACTGTTCATACGCTGCACGTTTGGCCTTTCAGTGTGTGTTTGGTGTTTAGTATAAACSTGGTGGTGGTGTTTCTCTTAAGTATGTGCCTTTACCTGTTAGACCATCCAAAATGTGTGCCAGTGGGATACGACCTATCCCAGAAAGCATTCCCCAGGGCTGCCAGCAGTATTGATCTGCACCCTGATACCTGTGGTATTAGGTAGAGTCTGAAGCTATGATGATTTCAGAAACTTATTTTCCAGGATGTCRTCTCTGGATCTCCTTGTCTTGTTGGAAATACAGACTCTGCTTATCAGCAGAGGGGAGTGGGTTTTTCTAGATGCAGCAGTTGCCTATTCCCTCCCTCAGAATTATGTGATCCTGTTGGGCATCTGACTGCCTTCCCACCCCTGCATCCACACGTCACCCAGGTGTGTGCCATAAAAAACCTGTGGGTTGCTGATGCTAATTGAAATGCATGAAATCTCTCTCTATTGTTGCATAAATGAAATTCAGCTTGAATTATTTTTACTCTCAGATGCATTTTTTTACACTCCTCATATATGTGGCTTAAATTTGTAGTCTGATGAGCATGGAGTATGCAGTGCAATCAAGCCATGCTCTTCTCCCTATGATTGTTGCTTCTGGACATTGTTTTAATCTTTTTACTTATTTTCTTTTGTGATTGCCCTTGGGGAGAAAAACCTCTAAAGCTCTTTTTTTGGTGATTAACCTCATAGCTTTCTTCACCTCGGCTTCCCTTCCTCACTTGTGAGCTGGGTTAAGAATGAAGGAATTACTTAAACACTAAGCTCTGCTCACTGCCCCGCCAGCCCTTTTCTTGGGCAGCAAACGCTGTCCCTGGGTTTTCAGTATATGTAGTTGCTTGTCCTCGACGCATTGCGTGTGGCCATTGCAATAACAAGTTTCCTTGGCAGGGTGTTTTACGGAGGGAGCCGGGTTCTGCTTGCAGTGTCTCTGAGGGCATCGTCTCTAAAAGCTTCAAGTTGGAATAACGCAGTGCTCTTAGCATCAAGCTCTGGCAGTTCAGCAGATGTTTTGTGTACTGGCCTGCAGGTTTTGCTGTCATACCAYGTAAGAGAAGTATTTGAACATGGTTTTCTAAGTTGCTGCTCTGCCCCCCAGCACACGCAGCCAAGCTGAGCGCTGTGTGGGAGGCTACGGCCGCGGTGGGTACATGGCAGTGATGCGGAGCAGCCGGGTGCCGCGGCTGCCACCCCGCACAGGAGGGCTCGTGTGTTCCCTGGGAGCTTGGAAGGCTGGGGAATGCGCTCCAATGCACCTGGAATGCTGCTTTATTTGGGTTGGGCAGAAACTTGTTTCAGAGGTGGGAACGGGGGTTCTTGGAGGCAGTTCAAGTGGCTTTACTGGAGGATTATGAAGTCTTCCTTTGAGGTCCTTAGTGCTGGAGACCTCCTCACTTGGAGGAATGCCTGCCTGCCTGTAAAGAATGGAAATTTCCAGGTGTGTAGTATAAAAAAATAAGTAAACCATTTCCTCTGTACTTAATAGGCCTTAGAGAATAAAAATACATATGCCTGCAGTTTAAGGCAACCTGGCTGCAGGCTTTTAATTTTCCTAATTAAAGAATAAAATCATGAAAATCTTAACTCTGAAATTTCCTTATATCATTAGGCAGTATTTTAAAACACAAGTGTTGGCTAAGGAGGAGAAAGGCGGCTGCCCCCATCAGTGACAGTTTATAAAACTTCATTCAGCGCTGTTAGCTATGAGCGGAAGGGAAAGATGACCTTTGTTCAAGGAAAACAGTCCTTTTAAGCCATGTCACCACTATATGTTGACRGAATTGAGCTTTGGCCAGTCTGGTGTGGATTACCATCCCATCACAGCCATTTCTGTGAGTGTCCTTCTGTGGAGAGGTCTMGTGCTCATCCTAAGAGAGGACCGGGGCTCTGGCACTGGAGGCCTCCTTTGCCTTGGAACGTCCTGTATATTGTGCCCACAGGAACCAACRTGCAACTGCTCCACGGTTACTCCTGACCAAACAGTGTTTTTGTTCATGATTTATTTTATCCTTAGGTGGTTAGGAGTTTAAAATAACCTGGAAAAGCTACTTGTACAAGAAGGGYGCGTTCTACTTGAACTTCAACCAACTTGTTGGTTGAAATTCCTCTCTTTAGATACCATAGTACTTTTCTTGCTTAGAAAATCCCCCAACCTCGAGCCAGATCATCTTAAATSCTTCTCTTTAAAAACACTAGGCAGCTCTTGTTCATCCCCAAGTAGTATTTATGAGGYCGCACCTGGAGTACTGTGTTCAGTTCTGGGCACCCCAGTATAGGAAGGACGTGGAGCTTCTGGAGAGGGTCCAGAGAAGGGCAACCAGGATGATTAAGGGAATGGAACATCTCGCGTATGAAGAGAGGCTGAGTGAGCTGGGCCTTTTTTCTCTGGAGAAGAGACGGCTCAGAGGGGATATGATT